GGTCAGTGGTCCCCAGCTAGAAAAGCAAACAAACACATAGAACAACAACAAAAATCAATGAAAAAAAGATTCTACACTCTTGGGCCAAGGTGGGTGCGGCTCATGTGTGTGCATGTGCACACTGCAGCACCAGGGATGAGCGTGCAAAACAGGCAGAGGAGGAAGGAAAGAAAACATGCTGTCCCACTGGCCTCCAGGATCGACCAGCTTTTATCCTAGAAGATGGCTCTGTACCCTAACTGAGATCAATCAAAGACCATCTTGGATCTATACATCAAGCCATTCAAAAATTACTGATACTCTGGAATATGGGTCAATAAAGTCATAACACTTCTCTCTGAAATGCCATATCTCGTTTTACTTGTTCCTTATCACAGTACAAAGGGGAAAGCTAACTGAGAAAAAGGAGCCGAGAAAAACAACAAAAGGCTCCCTAACCTAACCTACAACTGCAGTGTTAATGGCACTGGGCTGTTGGAAAAGCCATGATGAACATTCAGAAGTTCCTCTTAACTCGCTGGCTAGGGAGACCGCTTAACAGATCTCCATCTATGCACTTCACAGAGACCATATTATACACATGTGAAAGACAGCACTTAAAATACTACTCTAATTAAAGTGTGATTTGGTTCCCACCAGAATAACATAGGGAAGCTTAAAGAAGCCAAAATATTAAGCAATCATTATTTTTCTTTTCTACATAATTCCAGGGAAGATTTTCAAGTTACTGAAAGGGGGGGGGGGATACATAACTTTTCATGAGTGACTATCCCCATGAAATAATTTTAACAAAAGAAACCTTTGGAACAGTGTGGAGAGCAGTAATAGAAGAAATACAAATGAGGAGTCACTGCAACTAAACTCAAAGGTGTTTCTAAAGTTCCTCATTGCACTGCAAAGTTGTATTGACCTTTCAACACCCATTCTATTAGATTACCCTATACAAGTCAGCCAAAGAACAGAATTTCATCTTTTTAAGTCTAAAAAGAAAAGATGAAAAGTCTAAAACGTATATACTTTTAAAATTCTAATGAATTCCGAGCCCATTGAATAGTTTAGTGTTAATATCCCCAGTCTGCACATCCATGCTCGGAACTCCGAGAGGGAGACAGTGGCTTCAGAGAGGTGAGCGCCCCACCCCCAGCGCTGCCCAGGATGCCAAGGTGCAGAGAAGACTCTAGGCCAGACACACAAGGGCTTCACCTCTGTGATGCACCTCTAATGCCGGTTTCTAAGAGGCCATGCTACAGGCCACCAGAAACGACATGCCCAGGACACCTCTATCTGGCTTCCTTCCGAAACAAAGAATTGCCTCTACTGTGTGGACTGTGAGCACAGACTGAGGATGAGCTTTGGAAAAGTTTTAGTGTGACCCACAGAGGGGATGATCCCTAACCTTCGGGTGAGAGTCTGGTTTACTTCAAAAGATTAATCTTAATAGTTATTTGGCAAAGATAAAGTATTAGCTGTCCTTAGCCTTACACCACTAAAAATGGTAACATCACCTTTAAGGAATATTATAAAACAACCACTTTCCAACTCCATGTCCAATGACTATCTCATTCTCAGAGGGCCACTAGACACACCATACTACCTGCCAACACGGAACTGCACTTGTTTATGAAGCAGGAACGCCTCACATGGTTCGCTCACTAGAAAACAACCCTTGCTTCTCAGCAGCTGTTTGCATTGCATAGTCTGTCACTTGCTGGTCTACCTGGAACTGCCAGTTACCATCCTGGATTGTTTACTAGCTGTGTGCCCTACCCAGGTGTGGACATCGCTAAGCCATTTTTACAGAGGAAACAAACAATATCTTAAGTACTTTACTAAAATAACATTAACGATTAAAGGAGAGAAAGCCCATTTTCTCTTCAGATAGCAGAGATTACGGCTGCTGAGTATCAGATTCTCAGAGCACAGAATGCATGTATTAACTGCAGCAACTTCACAATTGAATCACAGTAACACAATCTAACTGGCCTTTAGAAATGGTCCCAAAGAACTGCAGAGACAGACTGAGCCTTCATTGTCGCTGTCTCTTATGTACTGAACACTACAGCAAAAGCTAGCATCTACCTTATAAGACCTTGTGTAAGGTTTTGATTCCAGTATTGCCTTACCACAATACAAGTGCTGTTCTCATGTAAGCATTATAAAAGATGCTTTTTTCCTTGCATATTAATGCCCCGCCTACTACTGAGAGACTAGAACTGCTCCAAAAAAAACTAGAGAAGAAACAAAGTGGGTACCGCTGGGCTTGTGGATAAATGCTCTTCCAACGGGAGATGCTCAAGAAAAGCAAACTATAGGCTTGGATGTTAGTTCTGAAATATTAGAAATCTGTGCTTTTTGCTAATTATTCAATTCTATACCAGTACTTTCTAAGACTACCCTCTCTTCGGCTATCGTCATGGGCAGCTAAACAAAAGAGAGTTTACTCAAGATTTTTGGCGTGAAGCTTTAACTGGCAACATTCCTGATCACTTCATGCCTTCTTACTCAAAAGCAAAGAAGGGCTTTTAAATGCACATAAAACAGAAAACTGCGGAGCTCCCGGGATCGCTGAAGGGTTCGGTCAGAGGCAGGATCCTGCCCGTGGGTGACATGGACAGAGGTAAAGAAAACTGTGGTTTCAGGCCTGCTGAGACCACAGCTCCTTTTGGTCTAAAATGAGTCTTGGTGATAGAGCAGATTCCTTCTCAAAACCTAGGATTGGCTAGCAGTGGCCAGGCCCTGAGGGTCCGGTGTCCTTCCAACTCTCCCCACTGTATCCCTTCACAAGCATAGAAACTGGCCTCATGTCAGAAGCCAGTGCCAAAGCAGTTGCCAGCTGCCAGCGTTCCTCGACCTGTCTCCCGGCTCAGCAACCCCCACAAGAGTGAGCAGCCCCAGCCCACAGCCTCTGGAAATAACTCTGAAAAGGGACAGGCATCAAAACAGAAAACTGAAGACTCGGAAAAGAGGCAGTGGACTCTGCAGGGTTTTGACATGGCTGCCCCCTGGGTAAAGGAAAGATCGGAAATGTTTACTTGACAAGGGAGAAGCAAAAGCAAGTTTTCCTGGCCCTGAAGGTGCTGTTTAAAACCCAGCTGGAGAAAGCAGGGGTGGAGCACAGTCCCACTTGCGGCACCCCAACATCCTCAGGCTGTCCGGATATTTCCACGATGCTAGCAGAGTTTATCTAATCGGGACTGTCTATAGAAGCTCCAGGAGCACTTCCGGTCTGAGAGCAGAGAACGGCTACCTACATCACCAAGCTGGCAAATGCTCTGACACATTAAGCCAGAGAACCTGCTTCTTGGGCCAAATGGAAAGTTGAGGATCACAGACTTCGGGTGGTCTGTGCATGCTCCATCTTCCAAGAGAGCCACACTGTGTGGCACCCTGGACCACCTGCCCCCTGAGATGAGTGAGGGCCGGATGCATGACGAGAAGGTGGACCTCTGGAGCCCGGTGTCCTCTGCTGTGAGTTCCTAGTAGGGATGCCCCCCTTTGAGGCACAGACCTACCAGGAGACCTACAGAAGGATATCACGGGTTGAATTCACATTCCCCAACTTTGTGACCTCATTTCAAGACTGTTAAAGCACAATGCAAGCCAGAGGCTAACACTAGCGGAAGTCCTTGAGCACCCCTGGATCACACAGCTAATTCCTCAAAGTCTTCGACTGGCCAAAAAAACCAAAGAGCTAACTAGCAAATCGTCTTAGAGAATTCGGAGCCGTGGCCACTGTGCAGCTGTGAGAAATGTGCCATCAAGACGTGCAGGAGCATCATCACTGCCCCCGGGGTACCCTGCTGAGCAGCCAGTCCCTGGCCTTGCATCCTGAGCAAGAACCATGCTGCTTCTCCTGGTTCAGTAATCTGGAGGAAGGTTCCACTGCAGCAGTTCCCATGGCCTGTGACCCCAAAGTGTCCTTGTGGGGTCTCAATGTGGGAAAGTTCTCACCCTGGCCACCTCCCCAGTGATCACCTGTGTCCGTAGCCTTCAAGTGCCTGAGTGTGTGTAACTTATTGGGCCGCCAGGCCTGGGAAGGCTGTAGTTTTCTTTTAAATGTTAAAATAAAGGTTTGTGTAGCCTTTTCTTAAGTGGCAACCCTTCAGAACACTGGTTTTCAGCCTTGAGCCTGTATGGGATTCGGATCCTCAACCACCTTAATGGAGCCTGTGCTCTACCTGCTTTGGACTTGACTCAGGTGTTTCTAGATGTTATGGGCTGTTGTGCTGGAGTTCTGTCAAGTACACAAACGTGTTAAATATATAAATATATGTATAACATCTAAAAATTTGAGAAAAAAAAAAGAGAAAACTGCAAACAATAAAAAGGTGCAACCTACTGCAAACTCAGTCTCAACAACTAAAGAATTTTCAGCAGCTAACGCAGGGACAAATGGCCACTAACAGTCCAAGCTGATAACCCATGACTTTCTTCTCGCGGTCAAACAGGAGCTCGATAAGGAAGTCCAGTGCCGCTCTGCTTCCATCTTCAACTGAGACACAGTGGAGACAAAACAATTTTCTGAGGATGCACAGTTATCTAGTGATGAAGACAGCTCAGCAAACGAAACGACACTCTGGAGGCGAGGTAACCACTCCTTACCATTTCATTACAGTGCACCAACACGAACAAGCTGCTGACAGAAGTTCACAGGTGAGAAGCAGGCACAGAGCTGATTCTCACCATTTAGGAGAAGCTCATGGTGATACTAAACAGAATTTCTTTGTGACATAATTTCTAATTTAAAAATTTCTCAATCTGAAAAATGGCAAAGCTAATACCTTAAATGTTGCAATTAACATAATTTTTTTAAAAAAGAAATACATTACAAACATATTTTGCCCTCCCCTAATTCAATAAATATAAAATAGGGCATATCGTGATTTCATACAGTCATGTGACTTTCCCTCCCAAAGCCCAGGCACACGGTATCTGCACACTGCCTGCTGCTCACGTCACTCCTTGTAAGGCAGAGAAAGAGGCCTTCGACGGAAGGGGCCGCTCGGAATAGCAGAGCGTGAAGAAAGCACACAGGAGGAAGGGTGTCCTAGCCTTCACTTGTCAGGAAGGACGGGATTAGGGTCAAACAGTCCCTGACAAAAGAATTACTGTACCACATCATTAACAGATATGTTGTCTTATTTTTAGAAATATACAGATGTAGATTAAATTGAACTCAGGTGTGAATACCCAGTGGTATTCAAAGGGACAGTGAAACCTCAGCAAACAGATCAGAAAGTGAAGGTCCACCCTTCTCTGCAGGGGAAGGCAAGCAAGAAGAAACCCCACACATCACTCCATAGTCACCAACTTGCCACACTAATCAACAAGATGTTCACCCTAAAACCTTGATACTTTAAAAGATTTCCAAATTTACTTCACCTTAAGTATTTAAATTATTTTAAAAAAGTACCTAAGGTAAGTCAAATTTATGTCTAATTTCCATATTCTGCTTTGAAAGAAATTTTAAAATGTGTGTCCTTCCAATATTACACATCACTTCACAACTGGTACACGGACTCTACATGTGTCCTCAACAGTTCACAAATCTCACCAAAGAATCACAACTGTAAACATGTAAAAACTAGGAGCGGATGACAGGCCAGGCAGGGCACAGATGTCGCCTTTCAAGTTTATCTGGTCAAGCCTGCTTGTCCACATCAAAACATTTTTTAATTACAGCTTGCAAATGTGTTCCATGAGCGAGGGATTTTGAAACAAACACACACGGAAAAGGCAAAGACCTGAGCAGCCTGAGCCACGCGGGGTGGTTGTCACGACACTCCCTGTCACTGACGCGAACTCAGCCTTTCGTGGCTCCTCTCTTCATAGGCTGATCATTAGAGACAAAGGGCCGTGTCACCACCACCATACCACCCCTCCTATTCAGATGCTTTAGTCAACTCAGTCAGAAACGATGCTAGGTATGAGAAGGAAGGAGGGAAAAAAGAGCCGAAAGCTTATTTGAGAGAAAAAGACAAAAAAAAAACCCCAAAACAACAACAACAAAAAACCCATGTTAGCTACTTCCTGCACTGCACGAAACATATACGGGTGAACACACATTCACAGGCAGTCAAGAGACAATGTTCTTTTCAGTTAACCACATCACAATTAGGAATGGCACCCAGGCCTCACTGTGGCGTTTGGCAGCCGGGGCTGAGTCAGAGTTCTGATTTGCCCCCCCCCCCCCGCACACCACCTGCTCCACAGGCTCTCAACAGAACACTCCGTCCACACCAACCTCTGAAAAACCTGGCTGGAGAGGGAACGCACTGATCTCAACAGGAGCAAACAGTAAAGGGCACTGGTAATCTGAGGTATCTTCCACTGCAACCCTATCCGGTCACTGTGCTGCGCCACCAGAGGAACCACCAGGCCGAGAGGACCCGCCAGGAGGGGGAGCACCAGTGCTGAGGAGCACACGTGAACACTGACACAGGTCGCCGCGCGGCCGCTTGCTGATTGGGAAGGGGTCCTGCTAATCCCCACTCTTGATTCTAGATCTTCTGTAGGAAAAGAGGAGGGTGCAAAAGAGGAAACAAAGATAGAAAACACCAGGTCCCACCTGCCTGAAAGCAGACTCGCTCACTCAGTTAGGGGTGGGGAAAGGGGGAGATGCATTACTGGTACTTGTAGCCGTGGCACCTGTTACAGTGAAGCCTGTGGGAGGGGCTATGGAGCTGTGGCTGGGCTGCAGGTCCTTAGGAATGCCACTGTGAGAACTCAGCTGGTGGCCGAAGGCTGCACTGAACTGCGGGAGCTGCTGCTTGGGAGAGGTGGAGGCCATTAGTTCAGCGGAAGGCCCCATGCCACTAAAGCTGGTCTGTGGTAACCCCGGAAGCACACTGGAACTGCTCGGGGTAACGGTGGCGAAGGCAGGCTGTGTGGTCTCTGAGTTGGACGTGGTGGGTGGCGTGGAGAGGGAGGTGGAAAGAAGGTGTCCATCCGCGCCAAGGAGGTTGCTAAATGCAGAGGGATCGCCAAGGTTGACGGGGAGACTCCCCCAGTGAGTTCTGGGGTTGACCACTCCTCCAAGTGGCACCTCAAGTTGGGTGGGGAGCAAGTGCTGTGCCATGATGGGCATCTCTGCTGAAAAGGTAGCTGCCATATTATCACCAGAGTAAGATGTGTGGGGGGAGGTGATGTGGTCACTGTAGGGCGACGGCACGTGCTCGCTATCATAATGGCTTCCATGGGGTGAGGAGTGTGAATGATCACTGCTGTATTGCTGTCGTGAGGTGATTAGGTCATCTGCCTTGCTCAGCAGCTGGGCAGGGTGTGGCCTCTGGGAGGCATGGCTGCCATCATGAAGTCCATGAAACCGTCCTGGGAAGGCTCTCTCCCCAAGTGCACTCTGGCTGAGCAGAGTGGCAGAAGTAAGGCCAACGCTGGCTGGGGCAGAGAACTGCCCCTGGATCTGCCCTGCAAGGGGTGTGGGTGGGTTAGACAGGCTAGCGGAACGGAGGAGGTTCTCGTCCAGCTCCAGACTAGAGAAGCTGTCGTGGACCATGCGTCCATTCAGCAGCTCCCCTAGGTCCGTGTTCACTTCTCGACTCAAGGACTGGATTCCCGAAGCATCAGTACCCGCGGAGAACACCCCCATTCCTCTATCTGACAACACCTGAACTGGCACACCGTCTGACTGGGTAAGTACCCCAATTGTACTCAGGCACTCGAGAGAAGTTACAGCTTGCAAGGCCCGCTCAAGTTCCTCAGCTTCTTCGGTGGTCGGGAGGAGGTCTCCATTCTTTCCTGCATTAACCAAAGCCGGCAGCATCAGCAAAGCTCAGAGGTGATTGACAAAGCACAAGTCTTGCAGCTGAGTATTTAACACTACCCATCACAAGAGTCCTTGCCAGGCTTGGACTTTAATCCTACAACTCAGGAGGCAGAGGCCAATGGATCTCTGAGTTCTAGCTGAGCCAGGTCTACATAGCCAGCTAGGGCTGCATAGTAAGACTCTGTCTCAGAGAAAGAAAAAACAAAGACCTCTGTGAAAAGAAAAAAGTTTCTTTTTAGAGACAGGGTTTCTCTGGGTAGCCCTGGCTATCCTGGAACTCTCTCTGTAGACCAGGCTGGCCTTGAACTCACAGAGATCCACCTGCCTCTGTCTCCAGAGTGCTGGGAGTAAAAGCCTGTTTACTACCACCAGAGGAAAAACGTTTCTTATACTGAGATTAGAAAGAAAAAGAAAATATTGATGATCTGCAATTCAGGTCTCAAATGTCAGTTTTCTTGGAATTTCAATGACCATCTTTATTTTTCCCAGAAATCTACCATAAGAAATGTTATTTATTTATTTATTTATTTTTAAAATATTTATTTATTATGTATACAATATTCTGTCTATGTATATGTCTTCAGGCCAGAAGAGGGCACCAGACCTCATTACAGATGGTTGTGAGCCACCATGTGGTTGCTGGGAATTGAACTCAGAACCTTTGGAAGAGCAGGCAATGCTCTTAACCGCTGAGCCATCTCTCCAGCCCCCTGTTTTTTATTTATTTACTTATTTTTTGGTTCGTTTTCAGACATGATTTCACTTTGTAGACTTGGCTGGCCAAAAAACTTACCATATAAAACAGGTTGACCTCAAACTCATAGAGATCTGCCTGTCTCTGCTTCCCAAGTGCTGAGATTAAAGGTGTGTATCATCAAGCCTGGCTCTGTTAAATTCTTTTTATGTTTATTTATGACTAAGTGTATCTATCTGTGTGAACTTCTGCCACATGTATGTGGGTGCCTGTGGAGGCCAGGGTGTTGGCTTCTGGGTCTGAAGTTACAAGCAATAGTAAGTTGTCCAATATAGGTGCTGTACATTAAACTTAGGTCCTAGCTGGGTGATGGTGGTGCAAACCTTTAATCTGAGCACTTAGGAGGTAGAGGCAGGAGAATCTCTGTGAGTTTGAGGCCAGCCTGGTCTACAGAGTGAGTGCCAGGACAGGCTCCAAAGCTACACAGAGAAACTGTCTCGAAAAACCAATACACAGGGGAGGGAATGGGAATTTGGATTGGTATTTTTTTAAAGTAATAATAAAAAAATAAAACAAACTCATGTCCTTTGGAAGAGTACAGCTACTCTCACCGCTGACACTGAGCATTCTCTCTCCTGACCAGGCCTGGCGGTGTACACCTAAACACCACCATGCCTGGCTCCAAACACAGGTCAAGCCTCAAAAGATTTTAGTAAACTTATACGTTGATCGGCACTGTCAAAACATTAAGGAAAAGTGCTCCCTTTAATGGCACAAAATTACATAGTAATTAAAGTATAAATCTACTAAATATATACTATGATTAAATTAATTATGTATTTCTCACCTTCCGAAAGCAACTTTAGTGATGGTATTTTCCATTTATAGTGACAGGAAAAACATTTCAGATGAACTGCAAAAGGTTATTTTATTTAAAAAATTCGTAATAAAGTGGCCAGTAAATGGCTCTGTGGGTAAGGGTACATGCCCCACATGCCCAACAATCTGAGTCTAATCCCTGGAGATCATGGGAAAGCGGGAGAAAAGAACGCTCTCCACATTCATGTGCGCTGTGCAAACACACACATACATCATGGGCTCAGCAACAACAACAACAAAAGTTATTAGTATTTCCAGGATGAATTTGGTGACACTGGGCATAATCTCAGGACTCCAGAGCTGAGACGGGGGCATTGTTAATTCAATATGGTTAAGAGCTTGTCTCAAAAGTCTAAAATAAATCTTATTTCCCTTCTTATGAACCATTTCAAAATCAATCATACCTTCAAAAAAATCAAAATCTTGTAAGTCATCAGGCAACCGTGGCAGGACATCCGCGAAGTCTTCATGGCTCAATTCTAAGTCATGCGGAATGTCACTCATCTCGTTGGCAATGTCATCCGGCAGCTCGTCGGCACTCAGCTCTGGCGTGGAAGGACTACTACAAAGACAGCACAGTGGTCTAGGCTGCCCCACCTCCCCTAGGAATACATGAGACTCTATCTCCAAACAAACAAATAAATAAATAAATAAATAAAAATGACTTCTCTTCACTTCACGAGAAATGTGAAAGCAAAACGCTGCAGAATGAGACACCTCACTACATAGTCACATTCCTACAGCCTTTACCCATTCAGGTGATGACTTCAAATCACTAGCATGGATCACCATTTAGTATATCTATGTTCTAGCAAAATTTCAAATCTGATCAAGATAATAACTTTAAAAATGAAATAAATAGACAAGATTGAACTGAAATTCATTTGATCAAAAAGTCTGCCAAAGCTTAAAAAAATCATATTTCTAAATTACATACATCTATTATAACGTGTATAATTTCTGTTAAAACAGAAAACCCTGAGAGTAAACACTTTGAGAGTCTCAATTTCTGCATCTATTCTCCTTGCCATAATAAAAAACTGATATCAATGAAACTGTACTGCACTTAGCCAGCCACCAGCAAATCTGTCAAAGACAACTGAAGGGTAGGTAGGGCTGTGTGATGTGGGAGTGATTCGCTTCCTATTTCAACAGCTGTGGAGGTTGGGACAACCCTGAGGCCACACCCCAGAGGAAAGCTCCCCCCCCCCCCACTAACCGGATCTGCGAGGCCTCCACTGGCAGTGAGACGCTGGTGGGCATGCTGAGGTTCCCTTGGGGCACTGCAGGGGGAATTGGTTTCTGGGGTCGACGAGGTCCACGCCTTCTCTTCTTCTTGTGTTTTTTGGTAAGTGCAGGGGGCTTCGTTTTTTTCCTAGGTTTCCTCGGTTGCTGGTGCTGAACTTTACGGGAGTTATCTCCTCTCAAGAAGTTATCCTTTGAAATGAACAGAGGATTTTTTTTAAACCTACTCCACCCTCACTCCTGGCACAACAGTGCACAACAAGGTGACTATGGGCTGGCAAGCCTCGTCCATCTCAAGACTAGAAGAAAGCTCAGTTTTCACCAGTAGGTACCGTGCCCGCCTGGCATGTACAAGCCCTGAGTCAGCTCTCCAGTACCACCTACAGCCAGGTGTGGTGGAGGCCCTATTTCTACATGCTATGGTGGCCAGAATCTCAGGCCATAGTTTGCACCTGCCACACAGGAGGGGGTCACCATCCCTAACAAAGGGTCAGGATGTGGTTCTGCTCCTTCTTTGTATTTTGGAGGATGCCTGAAAACCTACATTTGCCTGGTTACCTAGGAAACAGAATGCTAATGAATTTCCCCCTCAGTTTATGTTTTGGTATAAAGGCTGTTTGGAGAATAAATGGAGGAATTTTCAGGATGTGAACTCTGGATTTCATGAGGGATCCCTGAGGATCTCCCTCCCGATACAGCCATGTGAGTTGTCTCCATTATTCCCGCGCCGCCCCTCTTGTCCAGAGAAATAATTTAGGGTCCGGGCTGGCACGGGACAACAACAGTGTGGTGGTGCACACCAGGAACCTAGGCACTTGGCACAGTGGTGGCTTGGAGGGTCAGAAATTCAAAGTCAATACAAGACCCTGTCTCCAACGGAAAAAGTATTTGAAAGCTCCATTTTATCCAGTTTAAATATTGTATAATATTGAAACATCACATTATTTTATTCGTAATTTTTATGTATAAGTTAAAATAAATTTATCTAGGGCTGAAGACAAGTCTTAGTGGTTAAGAGCACTGTCTGCTCTTCTAGAGGACTGGAGTCCCATTCCCAAACTCCAGTCCCAAGGGACTTGACACCCTTTTCTAGCCTCTACAGATATGAAGCACACATGTAATCCACATACACACGGGCGAACACCATATACATGAAAATAATTATCTAAAAAGACAGAGTATCTGGAAAATCCTAACTATCACAAATTTCTCTTAATAATCTACATAAATGCCTAAAGCTATATACAAAAAGTACAAAAAATTACCTTAATTCCTCTCTCTCATGCACACGCACGCACGCACGCACACACACACACACACCCCCCATGCATCACTTCCACCTAAAGGCATTTTGAGGGCCTGGGTACAGAGCAATGGCGGAATGCTGCCTCGTATGTGCAAGCCAAAATCTGATTTTCAGCAAAGCCAACAAACAATCAAGATAGTATGATAATTTATGCTCTCCAAGAACTTACTCTTCCCATGGGAAAACATCAAGAAAAGGATAACACAACACACAGAAAATGAACAATAGTTGATCTTAAAAGACCTGAATCTTTTAAGGAAGATCATCTAGGCCAAAGGAAAGCACACAAACAAGAAAAAGCTATTTGGTGAAGAAGCTTAGGGATAGAGCATACATGATTCTGAACATCTCAATTTTAAACTCAATATGCAATGAGAGACTTTTTTTCCACCCAGAGGAGTCACTTTTGAGAACACATGGCAGAAATATTACAAGAAAAGCCAGCCTGGCAGCAGTGTGGGGCTGAACAGGTGGAGGGCAGTGCCCCTAGAGGGCCAGCCATCTCAGCAGTCAAGAAAATGAGTAAGTAAAAAAGTGCGGACTCATCAAATTGAAATTATTTTTATTTCATTATTTATTTATTTGTGTGTACATCTACACGAATATATGCACATGTTTGTGCAGGCATGTGCACATGTCATGGTCAGAAGAGAGTAGTGGAGCCGGGCGATGGTGGCACACGCCTTTAATCCCAGCACTCGGGAGGCAGAGGCAGGCGGATCTCTGTGAGTTCGAGACCAGCCTGGTCTACAGAGCTAGTGCCAGGACAGGCTCCAAAACCACAGAGAAACCCTGTCTCGAAAAACCAAAAAAAAAAAAAAAGAGAGAGAGAGAGAGTAGTGGATCTCTAGGAGCTGGTTCCAGGCACCTGGGAGGTGGCCAGCTTGTTCTGTGGGCACAGAACTCCAGTTCTTTTTTTTTTTTTTTTTTTTTAAATCTATTTATTTATTATGTATACAGTATTCTGTCTGAATGTATGCCTGCAGGCCAGAGGAGGGCACCAAATCTCATTACAAATGGTTGTGGCCACCATGTGGTTGCTGGGAATTGAACTCAGGACCGTTGGAGGAGCAGTCAGTGCTCTTGACCACTGAGCCATCTCCCCAGCCCAGAACTCCAGTCCTTGTGATTGCAAAGTCAAGTGCTCTTAGCCACTGAGCCTCCTGCAGCTCTCAATTTGAATTAGTTTTGTTTTGCTGCTGGGACTTGAACCCAAGGCTTCATACATGCTAAGCACACTGAGTTACATCCTCTGGTAGCTCCTTGGATCTGGTGAGGTTAAAAGGAACATGAAACTAAAATACCTCTAGAGATTCTAGCTGGGTTAACTGTTTAATGACAATTACCATTAGTTCAGTGCTTGTTCAAACTCTTGAAATTGCAACTTGACACTGGCCTATAAATTTGTTAGGCTGCACTTGTAACTGTGCTGGGGCCCACTTCCTTCACTAACTCATACAATTGAAGCTACAAATTCAGGAGAGGAGTCGAGGCATTTATCCTGACCTACATACAATTTGAGATATGACATTTCTAGAGAGGCAGAGGAAAGGGCTGGAGGTGCAGACTCGAGGGATCCATGGTATAGTAAGAGTTCTTCAAGAAATGTACATGGAGGCAGTGGTGGTGCAAACCTTTAATCCCAATTCTTGGGAGGCAGAGGTAGGCGAATCTCAGAGAGTTCAGGCCAACTGGGTCTACAATATAGTTCCAGGAGTGCCAGTAATATTACACTGAGAAACCCTGTCTTGAAAGAAAACAAAACAAAAATTGGGGGCAGGAGAAATGGCTCAGTGGTTAAGAGCACTGGCTGCTCTTCCAGGGGTCCTGAGTTCAATTCCCGCAACCACATGGTAGCTGGCAAACATCCATAATGAGTTCTCATGCCCTTTTTGGCCTGTAGGCATACACGCAGGAAGAACACTGTGAAAGAAAGAAAGAAAGAAAGAAAGAAAGAAAGAAAGAAAGAAAGAAAGAAAGAAAGAAAGAAAGAAAGAAAGGAGGGAGGGAGGGAGGGAGGGAGGGAGGGAGGGAGGGGGATATATAGGAAACAAACAAAGAGGAACGTAAGGACAAGGCTGTGTGAAGAGGCAAGGGAAGAGAACTGCCAAGGAATCAGAAACTGACAATTCTGCTGTCTCTCAACTTTCAGAGTCTTTAATTCTACCTTTCATATGAAACAGGCTTGATATTTGTGTCGCCCTAAAATTCGTTTGTTGAGTTCCTAACCCTCAATGTGATGATGATATCAGAAGTAGGGCCTTTAGTCATAGAGACCTCATGAAATAGGATTATTGCTCATATAAAAGTGATACAAGACAGGAGCTAGCTGGGTCCTCTGCAAACCCCATAGGGAAAAGCCAGATGTTTATGAGGTAAAGGGTGTTGTGGATTATTACTTTAACTAAGCAAAGATGTGTTACATTTGTTTATGCTGAATTTGTTAACAATGTAAAGATGTGTTGTTTTGCCTGTCTAAGACACCAGATTAGTCTAAAAATAAGGTGAATATTCGGCCAACAGCAAGGCCAAAGAGGGATAGGCAGGGTTGGCAGGCAGAGAGAGTAAGTAGGAGGAGGAATCTAGGCTTCAAAGAGGAGGGAGAACAAGAGAGGGAGACACCTAGGGTCAGGTGGCTGCCAGTCAGACATCGAGTATACAGAGTGAAAGAAAGGCTAAAAGTCCCAAGACAAAACACAGATGAGGTAAAACAGGTTAAATTAAGTTATGAAAGCTAGTGGGACAAGCATAAGTTAAGGCCAGCATTCATAACTAATAGTAAGTCTCTGTGTCATGATCTGGGAGCTGGCTGGTGCCCCATCAAGCCTGACAACTGGAGCTCAATCTCTGGGACCCACATGGTGGAAGAATCGACCCCTGCCAGCTGTGCTCTGTGCCCACACAGGTGCATGTAGGCCAAGCACAGAAAGAAATGTGAAGAAAAAGAGAACGAACCCACGACCTCAAGTCTACATTTCCAGCATTTATTCTTCGCACTTGGTCCCGGAGCCCTGGCATCTGCTAAGTGTGTGATAGAAGTTTTTACTGTTTATGAGGCAGCCACGCTGTAGAACTTGGCAAGAGCTGCCTGAGCCAAGGCACCGTGTTCCAGAATCCTAAGATGTACATTTGACTATCTCTGCAACTGAGGAGCATTTTATAATTGCTGTCAGCCAGATGACGGTCACAGGCAGCATTACCTACATACACATCAAACACAGTTACAGCTCATATTGCTTGTATTAAGTTATACACTCTGTTGGTATAGGTTAGGCAAAAACAACACAAAAATGTGTACCAGAAAGGCACCAGGAGTATCAGGGTAAAAAGAGCAGGGCATAAAATTGATGTTAGTGAAACAAATACCAACCCCAAGCAGGGTGTCTCTGTGCAACAGCCCTAGCGTTCTGGAACTAGCTCTGTAGATCAGGCTAGCCTCAAACTCACAGAACTGCCTGCCTCTGCCTCTGAGTGTTGGGATTAAAGACGTGCGCCACCACTGCCCGGCCACAAACACTCATTATTAAGAACAAATGACAAGCCTTCTTCTCAAGGCAACAACCCAGTGAGAAAGGAAAACCATGAACAGAGTAGATTAAGTTGTATTATAGTTTCAGAACAAAGAAAGCACTGCCTTTTGCATGCCAAATAATACATCTGAGACTGGGAGGAAGATTAAAAATCTGTATCTAAACAGTTCTTTAATAAGTTCTTTTAATAGTTATAAAACAAAAATTCCAACTTATCAAAAAGCATTGTATCTACAACTAGAAACATTTTTTCCTGATGCTATACAAGACAGTGTTTAAACAGTTGATACACTCTTCATCCTACAGATCCTGGAACAGCTCTTACCTAAACAGCTAAGAAGCTGCAGACAGTAATGTTTGGAGTGAACATCAAATTAGGGAAAAAGACAAGGAAATCAAAAATCTGAAAGGAATATTTCATGTAAACCTAAGTATAGACTCATGTTTTCTGTTTTCTTTTCTTTTTTTTTTTTTTTCTTCCAAAATAGTTTCTCTGTGTAGCCCTGGCTATCATGGAGCTCTTTGTAGACCAGGCTGGTCTGGAACTCACAGAAATCCACCTGCCTCTGCTTCCTGAGTGCAGGGTTAAAGGCGTGTGCCACCACTGCTTAGGTAGTGCTAAAGATATGGCAGAGTGCTTGCTGATGCCGGAGGCCCAGGGTTGACACGTGTGACTGTCATCTCAGCACTTAGGAGGTGCAGGTTGGAAGATCAGAAGTTTCTCACCCTCAGCTGCATGCCAAGATCAAGGCTAGTCTGGGATATAGAAGATACTATCTCAAACCTCACCACCAGGCAAAAAGAGAAAAAAAGAAAAGCTCACATTAACTCCTCTTAAGCCATTAATACAGATCCTGGTCTGGGATGTCTGTGGGAATGACATCAGCAGAGAGCTGGGTCCTCCTACATGGCTGTGAAAGCCTCAGGGCCCCACCAACAAGGATGTCTGGAATCATCAACCAAGGTCCACAGGAGGGCTTGAAAGCAGAGGTTTAGGGAAATGGTCTGCTTAGCAATGCTCAAGCACGAGGCCCTGCGTTCAGATGGCCAGCATCCCCATCAGAACTGGGCACAGCACCAGGCATCTCTAGTCCTAGCACTGGGGAGGCAGAGACACACTCATCTCTGGAGTTGGCCAGGCAGCCAGCCAGTTAAGCCAATCAGTGAGCTCCAGGCTCAGTAAGAGAAGCTATCTCAAAAGATAAGGGTGAAAAGGACAGATACACCCATCATCAATCTGGCAGCTACACATGCAAGTGCACACACCCATAAACAGGCACATACACACTCAAAAGCATACAGGAAGCTGGGTGTGGCAGGTCTCACACTTGTAATCTTAGTACTCAGGTGGCTGAGGCACATAATTCTTGAGTTCGGGGTTGGTTTGAGTACAGAGACCCTGGCTAAAAAAAAAAAAAAAAACCAGAAGAAACACACACACACAACCACAAAAACACCCTTCATTCACATTAGTCTGAATCAACTAAGAAAAAGTGCCCACACTTAGCCAGGCAGCAGTGAGTGGTGCATACCTTTAGGGAGGCAGGTGGATCTCTGAGTTCAAGGCCAGCCTGGTCTACAGAGTAGGTACCAGGACAGGTAAGACCTTTTCACAGATAAAAACAAAAAACAAAACAAAAGCCCATACTTTAAATATATTTTAATTAACTAGGGAGATGAACTCAATATTTCTATATGAAGTTTAATACTCAAATTTCTCAAAACATGATCCTCCTAACAAGGAACTAAACACAACAGAAATTTGCTAGCAAAGGGACAGATCAGGAAGGTGGCTTCACCGCCTAACTATACTAGTTAATGACAAAGCCAGAACCATAAACCCACTACCTAGTCCATGGTACTGAAGCACCCATGAAACTGCAGAGAACACAAGGCCCTTCCTCAGCCATGTGGTACAGCTGGTACCCGGCCGGCACAGCACCTCAAAACAGCTTGTGGGAGGCACAAGGCAGCTCCACTTTGAGGGGCTTGTTTTCTCTAGTTCCTGACAGGCAAGTATGCAACTACTAAGCTACTTCACTCCAAAACAAACCATTGTAAGCAATTTCATAATTCAAATATTTGACTAATTCAAATGTTTCCCTCCTCCAAATTATTCTAAATTAATTAGGATTCATGATGCCAGCATTAACAAAAACAATAATTAAGTTCAACAAAATATAGAAAAGCTTGGTATTTTGCCTGAATTTTACAAACCATCCAGATCATTCCCAGAACTGCATATAAAAAAGAAAAACTGAAGGCAAAGACAGAGCTTTTTAGTCAATGGCAACACAGCACAGAGTAAAAAAAAAAAAAAAAAAATCGCTGCTTTGATAGTACTTCCCTAATGATATCATAATCACATATATCTCTCAATAGTTTCTGTTTTCCAGTAGGAACAGTCATCACAGTTTTGCAGCCCTGACTGCAGAACTGAGGCGAACTCCACACTTACCATCTTTTTGGCATGTTCTTCGCACAGGGGCGTCTGGTGAGTGATGTCGAACACCGGCACAGAGCACTGCTGTCCGTCCGCAAACCTGGCCGTGCAGCTGGAGAAGAGCTGCTGGGAGCGGTTCAAGAGGATGTCTGGGTCGCAGTCAGGGAAAGCACGCCGCACTGTTCAACTTGCTACTCTCCTCACTCACGTCACTGTCTGTAAAGTTAATGTTCTCATTCAAGCACTGACGGGAAAATGGTAATAGTGACGATATCATTACTTATTTATTAACTGACTTCTGAGGGAGTCTACTTAGCTAGCAGGTTCTCAGGCAAGTCTCCTTATGGCCATTCTGAACTAATTTCTGTAACTTGAATAAACAAGATCATTTTCTTGTTAACACACTCCTAAAATCCCCACTAAAAAGATTGTTCCAAAAGCAACACTTAATTTTCTTAGGTATTTTATTTTATTTTACTTATGTATGAGTGTTTTGATTGAATGTTTGTATGCCAACCACACTGGAATGGACGGTTCTAAGCTACCATGTGGGTTCTGGGAACTGAAATCAGGTCCTCTAGAACTACAAGGAACATCCAGGGACACCATTACAGATGAGTAACCCCAGTATCTGGGGGAGCAAATCAAATTTCAGGCCAGTCAGGCTTAGTTACATAGTGACATGGCGGGGCTATAACCTAATTAATGGTATCTCAAATGCATAAACACAAAAGGAAGATTGCAAATTAGAGCAGTTGCTAGTATGGAATACTTTCAGCTGGGTATGAAGACACAAGACTGTGACATCAGCACTCAGGTCAAGAAATGACCACCACAAGTTCACTGGCAATCAGGGATAGATAGCAAGACCCTGTCTGAAGAAAGCAAAAATAAGCATTTTAAGTGCTACTCAGTTTTAAATATTTAATAAAAATATTTACTGACCAATAGAGTACTGACCAAGTGAGATGGCTCACAGTGGGTTAAGGAGTTTCTCTGCAAGACTGACATCCTCAGTTCAATTCACAGAACACACATAAAGGTGAGAAGAAAGAAAGAATGTGAGTTACATTGTGAGTTCAAGGGCAACTGGGGCTACGGAAACCCTGTCCATAGATGATGGATGGATGGATGGATGGATGGATGGATGGATGGATGATGGATGGAAAGATGGATGGGAAGATGGATGGATGGATGGATAGATGGATGGATGGGAAGATGGATGGATGATGGATGGGTGGATGGATGGGTGATGGATGGGTGATGGATGGATGGAAAGGCGGATGGATGGATAGATGGATGGATGAATGGAGACAGAGAGCTAGATAGAGATAGATGATGGATAAGCAGATAAATAAATAAATAAAATAAAGTGCCAGGTACACGCCCTTAATCTCAGCACTTAGGAGGCAGAGCCTCAGTTTGAGGCCAGCCTGGTCTACAGAGTGAGTTCCGGGATAGCCAGAACTACACAGAGAAACCCTGTCTTGAAAAACAAACAATAAAAGAAGTGATTTGACTTTCCATCAACAATCATTATAGTTTCAGGGTGAATGCCCCTAAAGGCCCAGCATTCCATTCCATTCTAATAAGAAATCCTTCAACAGCAGAACCTGCTTTGCTTCTCTGCTTAGAAGGCAGACCTCTCAACTCTAGCACAGACTCCAGTCCCTCCTTCTGAGAGACAAAGAAAGAGCTCAAGTCTGTGCACTTACGAGTCCTGCCTTTCCAAACAGTAGAATGAAAAGACGCTGAAGGATCGACAAATTTAAAGAGTAGGCACAATGACAGAACCAGAAAATTGTTCAGGACTATATGAAAACGAGAAATTATTTTAAATGTGGAATAGCTTTTATTTCACAAGGGTTTTTTGTTTGTTTGTTTTGTTTTCTGCCAGACAGAGTAGTTGTGGACACCTGGAATCTCAACAGTGACGACACTGAGGCAGGAGATTCCTGCGTTTGAGGCGAACCTCAGCAACTTGGTGAAACAACGTCCCAGAGAAGCACGGCAGGGAGCCCTCGCTTGACTGTAAAATGAAGGACAGTGGGAGGGCAGCTGTCCAGCCCGGGGAAGACTCGACTTCAACTCCCCATACCACAGGGTAGAAAGCACAAAGCCCCAAGCAAGGCAGTGGTGGTGCACGCCTTTAATGGGGGCGGGGATGGCAAAGGCAGAGAGATCTCTGTGAGTTCCAGGCCAGCCTGTTCTAAGAATGAGTTCACAAACAAAGCAAAACTAAACTAAAAAGCACACAGCCCCAAAGGAGCTAGTAACGCCATTGCCTGCTTCATGTAGTTACAAAGGATACGCTGGAAACAATGTCTGGTGAAGGGAAGGGCCTTGTTGGAGCACTGTTCACCCTTCACTGTTCCACTGCATGCTGCTGGCTCCACCTCCTTCAACTTGGTCTGGCTGCAGCTAAAGAAGGAAAAATGCAAAATTCATTTTAAGTGCTCTAAGAATCCAGGGTAACTTTTTTCTTTTAAACGTTTATCTTGTTATGTAAATGTGTGTGCACAAACAAGCACAAGCCATGGCAAAGCTGTGGAGGTCAGAGGACAACTCCAGGGAGTTGGGTCTCTCTTTCTACCACGTAGGTTCTGGGGATCAAAGACAAGTCAGTAGGCTGGATGGCAAGCACCTTTACCCATTGCCCATCTCCTTTGGCCCCCAGGATAAACATTCAACACTATGTTTCTGCAACACCCGTACTGTAACTATCTTTACTATGCATAGTCATTAAATACAAGTAATGAATTAAAGAAAGCAGGTATTTCAGTTATCAAATGTGTTATTTAGCTGACCCACTAATATTCAAGGCAAACAGCTACATCACAGTGGTTTTCAAATACACCTATCTGGTTGTTTGGTTTTATCTTGTTTTCTGAGACAGGCTTTCTGCCTTCACCTCCTGAGTGCTAGGATTATATATATGACCTAGACACTCTCCCTTAGTTTTTTGGTTTGGTTGATTTTTATTTTTATGTTTTTGGTTTCTTTGGAGACAGGGTCTCTTTATGTAGCTCGGGCTAACATAAAAGGAACTGTACAGCAGACTGGTCTCAAACTCACAGCAATGCTGCTTCAGATTCCCCAGTATATAAATCACATCACAGCATAAACCACTATGCTCAACTCATGGGTTTTCTCTTGTCACTGAGTAAAGACCATGAAGCGGACAGAGCCTCTTCACTATGTGGCATCTTACACAGATTCTCCTAAGCCTCATCGAAGCAGGGACCAAAGGCACCATTAGCTGCCAGGGCTGCCGTGAGTAGAGAGATGGGACACACCTGTAACACCCGTGGAGACAGGGCGCACAGTAATCCACTGAGCTGGTTTTCAGTCTCTACTGTCATCATGACCACTGGGCCACCTAGTGCCAGAACACAGTAAGTCTACAAAGGCGCCTGAGCACCTAACTGGGAGAGGGAACATGAACATGCAGATGTGGTTAAGCTACATACACATCCTTCAAAATGCGCTTACTTGGAACCTATCCAAAAGCTTGCTACATCTGTAACTCCATGCTTCATATTTAAACGCCATCTTGACTTTGATCACTTGGCATACTCTATCAGGAGGCAATGTCTGCAGCAGGCCCTCATTCAGTCATCAGCACTACATAAGCCAGGCGCTCTGACACAAGCCCACAAGAGCAGCACTGGGGAGGTGCTGGGAGCACTGGAGGAGCCTTGGCTATGAGGGTCGCTCAAAAAACAAAGGAAGACTTGTAAGCATCGGCAAGATGGCTTAGTAGGCAAACATGCTTACACCAAATCTGCAAAATCTGCTGAGTTCTATCCCCAAAACACACATGGTAAAAGGACAGAATGGCACCTTCAGCTTACAGACACACATGACCACATAAAGACACACACACACACACACAACTTAAAAACAGAAAAAGACTTCACAAAGGTAGAAAAGGAAATCATGGGAATATTAAATATCTTGCTGGGATGGATGGCATGGGCTTTTAATCCCAACAGTCAGGAGGTAGAGGCAGGAGATTCTCTGTAAATTTGAGGCCAGTCTCGTCTACATCAAGAATTCCAGACCAGCCAAGGCTACATAGTAAGACCCTGTCTCAAAACAAACAAACAAACAAGAATATTCAGTTTCTTTTTTTAAGTATTTATTTATTTATTTACTTACTTATTTACTTATACAATATTCTGTCTGTGTGTATGTCTGCAGGCCAGAAGAGGGCACTAGACCTCATTACAGATGGTTGTGAGCCACCATGTGGTTGCTGGGAATTGAACTCAGGACCTTTGGAAGAGCAGGCAATGCTCTTAACCACTGAGCCATCTCTCCAGCCCCGAATATTCAGTTTCTTTTCAGCGGTGCTGGGCCTGGCACTAAGAGCACATGCACGCAGACAAATGGTCGATGACCATCCACACCTTCAGCTCATACTCACAATATTTTTACACGGCCCCTAAAAGACGGCTACACTACTAACTTCAGCCCATAAAAACAATGTATTCATTTTTCATAAGGAAGGCTGTATTATATTAGCAGCTAAGCTATATAATCCAAGCTGCTTGGTCTAGATTTTTATACAGCATGGTACTCAATATAAAACAGATAATTTCTCTAAACACTTAAATAAGCTGAGCTATCTACCAAGCCTAATGTGCAATATAGTTCCTCATTTTTTCTTTATTATTTATTCTCATGTAGTCTAGGCTGCTTTTAAGTTCAAGTTCATTAAGTAGCTAAGAATGACCATGAATTCCTGAGGCTTACAGCCTTTCTTTTTTCCTTTCTTTTCTTTCTCTCTCTCTCTCTCTCTCTCTCTCTCTCTCTCTCTCTCTCTCTCTCTCTCTCTCTCTCTCTCGTCATAGGCTTGCGGGCACATGGCTCTCCCTGCTGGGCCATCTCACTGGCTTCCTTATGGTTCAGTTTACCAATCTCTCTCACAAACCCAAACTCTACAGACAAGTAATTAATGGTGTCATCCAAACAGCACAGAGAATCACTACTGCTTCATTAATCACAGGTGGCATGATCGATGCCAAATGACACCGAGCCAGTTTAAAAGCTGTTTGCTGGTTTGTTCACCCGCACTGGGAACTGAACTCAGAACCTCATGCATCCTGGTCAATCACTCAACCACTGAGCCACATCCCCCAGCAGTCCAACTTGGTATTTTATCATTTGATAACACTTATCATTCATTAAAAAAAAATCACTAAAGTTGGTTTAGGAGGTGTTCTGAAAACTACTGCATTAGCATATGTGGATTAAACTCACAGAACCACCAAAAAGAAAAAAGTCATAAATACAGTTTTCCACACCACCAAATTGCCTCAAACTCAATTTTTAGACCCCCACACCTTTGACAAGATTATTACCATCTATTAGGACTGAGGTATACAATGCCTATGTACAGAAATCGCTTTCTGCTGGAGACAGAATGACAGCTTTTGGTCCAAGTGTTAGACACCATTATTTTACGAACGCTGAAGGAGCAAACAGTGTCCCCGGAGAGAGACCAGACCTGTGCACGTGACACTGTGCTCCTCTACTCAGCAGCTGGCGCTCTCAGAACTACAGACACCTGCTTCTGCATCCACGGAAATGACTGTCTACAGCAGGAGACTTAATTAAGAGTGTATAAACTACTTTTAAACACCCGATAGTCCAATCAGTGACATTTTTCTTATGTAAACTTACTTTTTCCTACACATATGCACTTAAAGGTATCTTCTGGAATTATAAAAACTAAAAAGAATAAGCCTTTCTTCAAATCAGCGAGGAGCTACATATCTAAATTTCGGAAGCAGCAGGGCACAAGGCCTGCAGCTCCGGTGCTCGGAAGTGAGACGGTTTCCGTAAGCTTAAGGCCAGACTGCTCAACATACCAAGCTCCAAGCCAGCCAAGGCTACATGACAAGACTGTCCCCCAACAGAAGAAAAGGAAAAAAAAAGACATTTCCTTAAAGCAAGATGTTTAACTCAATTCAATGTTTTAAATGCATATTTCAGATAAAACTAAAAACAATTATAACCACAATACACACACACACACACACATTTGAGAATTATGTATAAATAAGATCAGAAAATTTAATCTACCTTTTTTGGGGTTAAAAATAACATTTTTGCTTTATTGTTTTTTGAGATAGGGTTTCTCTGTGTAATCCTAGCTGTACTGAAACTCATTCTGTAGGTCAGGCTGGCCTCGAACTCAGAGATCCACCAGTCTCTGCCTCCCAAGTGCTGGCATTAAAGGTGTATGTCACTACCACTTGGCATATAAACTACTCTTAAAAGGCATTTAGCTGATTTTTATTACAATTTCTTCATAAAACTGATTTCTAATATGCAGATTTTTATTTAACAAATTATGCACGTACTATAAAACCATATTTCCAAATGAATCTTTGACAATGTAGGACAGTGGGCATGATATACTTGTAAAAGGAAAAACTGGACACAGATCTTTTTGTTTTGTGTGATTTTTCTTTGGCTTGTTTATGTGGTCTGAATCTCACAGAGCTGATGCTGAACTTGAACTCTGGACTTTCTTGTCTCAGCCTACACAGTGCTGAAATTCCAAGTGTATGACACCATACCAGATTAAAAAAATAACTTTTCAACAATACAGGTCAATTTTATCTTAAATACATAAAACTGAGAATGTCTAACGGCAGATATCTATATTACACAGTCAGTAAAATCCCTATTTCCCTGGATACAATGGCACATGCCTGAAATCTCAATACTTAGGAGACTAAGAAAGGAGAGCATAAATTCAAGGCCAGCCTAAGTGTATAGTGAGAGCCTGTCTCAATAAACAAATAAACAAAGAAACATAATTAACTATGTGAATATATAAGGTAATATATACATTAAAAGAAAGGATTTAAAAGGAAGAGGCATAACTAACATGAGAAAAATATATTTTTATTATAAAATGAAAATACTGTTTACCTTTGTGCTTAAAAATATATGTTTTTTAAAAAAACCTATAATTATGTCTTTGAATAACAGGAAAAATGTTAAGTGTTCAATTTTGTTTTGTTTATAAGACAGCCAATGTTCTCAGCCAGATGAAGTGGTATCTGCTACATCCCAACACTCAGGAGGCTGAGACAGGAGGATCCAGGTTTTGAAGCTAGACTGGATAACACTGGTTCAAAAAGTTGTTTGCAAGAGAAATAACATTCTCAGATATCTTCAATGAATAAATTCTAATGCAACTCCAGGAAGAAAAGAAACAGTCAATGCTTCAGTTCACTGCCGGCCAAGGAGTGCAAACCAGACACAGTGCTCAATGTGGGGCTTAGATGTTCGCCTCACCTAGCCTAAACAATTCCTCAGAGCTCATATGTAAGGAAACAGAAGGACCAGGCCTGGGAAGCACGGGAAGCTGGGAACTGAGGCTCTAACCTGGCTCGACCGCAGGCAGCTCTCCGCAGTTCTTGGATCAACTGGCCAGTGCACTCGGGCTCTTTGCTGGCTGCCTGCAGCAGCGCTTTTCTCAAAGTGTGCCGGCATTTCTTTTGTCGAGACTCTGCCCGCTCCAGGCGGCAGAGGTGCTTGTATTTCTGCTGAAAATAAGTGCAAAGTTGGGTCACCCTGGAGCTCCTGCTCTCCCCGTCATCGGCATCCGACCTGGAAGTGCAGAGAAAGGTGGAAACTGATCACGGGGAAGTTCGTGTAAGACAGAGGAAGTGAAAACGAACACTCGTGTGGCACCTGTCTGAACACCAACTTAGTAAGCTGGAGAGATCCCCGTAGCCCTGAAAACAATTCAGTCATCAACTGGGCAGCGGTACTCAGCTCAGCACGCCTTCAGCAGGCACTGTGGCACCAGAGCAGGACGGGAGCATGTGGTGCAGGAACCATGGGACTGCCATTGCTGCTACAGAGGCATCTGACGGGCTTTCACAGCTTCCAACCATGCTAACGGACTGCTGACAGACGGTACATCTACGCTCAGTGCTGTGCTGTGCTGCTCAGTATCACCTACCACCTCCAATGGCAAAAATGGCAACTTTTCTATAGCACAAACTTGACCTTATTCTTTATTGTCAGCAACAATGTACATCACCTAAGCACTGGTGTTAGTTGATCTTCTTTTTCTTCTACTGTAAGGAAAGGCGAGACAAGCACTACTTATCTTTAGCCTCAGGTTTGTTTTGGTTTAGGGCGGTGCTTTATTTCCTACCAGCCCTTGGCAAGCTACTTCATGCACTTCCATTTAGAGCATCTCCTAGAAACGTCCTTTGCAGCACAGCCTCTACTAGAAATACACAAATTAAAGGCTCATACTTCGGCATCCACTGTGGTCTATTATGCTAATCGCCAAAGGAGTTATGATGAGATTTACAAAGGATAAATACACTCCCAAATGGAATAGGGCCAAAGAGGCGAGAATCAGGAACTAACACAGTGGGGCAGACAGACCGAGGCTTCCTATATCTAACACAGGGGAAACAATCGGAAGCTTGGGCTTGGAGACACACAAATGTACGCTCAATATCCAGGTGGCAGAAGCAGGAGGATTACCTTGAATCCAAGTCTAGGCTGGGGGATTTGTGGTGAGCCTTGTCTCAAAAAGAGGCACAGTGGCTGTTATTCCTTGGAAACTACAGCTCCCAGACTTCTCCTGGATTACCGTCACCTGTGTGCGCGCTGGCTGCGCCCAGGTGAAGGCCATTCCTCCCAGATAACCTTGCGCCCCCCGTTAAAAGCGAAGGTCCACGAGGCTTCGCTCTCTTGGCCCCCCTCTTGGCCTCTCCCTTGCCCTCAACCCTTGTGTGTCTGCACGTCCCACCCCTTATTGTGTTCCCCTCTCCCCATTAAAGTGCACCCACGTGGGAGCCGCGTGTCTGTCTCTTTCTCTTGCGTCTCGTCTATCCTGTGTTTGTCCACACACCCACGCCGCCGCCGTTTTTAAAGGAATAATAGTGGCACAAGCTTGCAATTCCAAATTCACCCAGTGATTTCCAAGCTAGTCACAGGTGCCTACTGAGAGTGCGTCTGGGAAGGGAAAATCTAAGAGCATCTTAAAATTTCAGATTCCCGGGACTTACCCCCAGATCTGCTGGGTCAGGATGTTAATGAGGTAGAGCCTAAGAACAGCAAATTTTTTAATTGTTTCTCGGAGTGTCATAGTAGGTCTATAATTCAGCATTCCAGCTGGGCTAATTAGCACTATAAACACCCTATGTACCAGCATGACAACTGTGAGCCTACGGTGAGGTAGAAAGTGGTACCAGTGCTCACTGTTGGACAAAAGGCTCAGTCTGCAAAGGAGACAGCAGCAGAGCTCACAAACACCAAACACTACTGAGACGGGACGGCATAGGCAAGGGCTAAGCAACTGGGCTAAGAGGGTATGGAGTGGAGGGACTGAGGACAGTGAAATTTTCAAAACCTAAATCCCAGCACTCAGGAGGAGAGGCAGGCAGATTGAGAGGTGAGTTAGAGGATAGTCAGGGCTACACAGAGAAATCTTATCTCAAAAAAGGGGGAAAAGAGAGAGAAAGAGAGAGACGGAGAGGGGAAGGGAGGGAGGGAGGGAGGAGGAAAGTTAATTTAATACCAAGGCTGATGGAAAAGGCCTACAACTCCAGCTATTCAGGAGGCCGAAATGGGAGGATCACAAGTTCAAGTCCAGCTTGACTTGTAGAGCAAATTCTGAATCAGGATGGGCAATTTAGCATGACCCTGTCCCAAAATTAAGTAAAGAAAAGGTCTGACATATAGCTCAGCAGTAAAACTTTTGCCTAGCGTTTAAGAGGTTCGGTTACCAGGAAAGGAGAGTGTGGGGACAGTTAAACTTTTGGTGGTCCTTGCCTTTAATGCCAGCACTCAGCTTCTCAGGAGGCTAAGGCAAGAGGATCTCTCTTGAGTTTGAGGCCAGTCTGGTCTACAGAGTGAGTTCCAGGACAGCCAGGGCTATGTAGAGAGACCCTGTCTCAACAAACAAACAAAGAAAATGGGTATCGATGGGCTAGAGAGTCAGTCAGTGGTAAGAGCACTCACTTTGTACACAGGAGGACAAGTGTGGACTCTAGAATCCTTTATAGGCAGTTGAGTAAGAGAATGTTTTGTTCTTGCAGAGGACCTGGTTTTCATTACCGACACTCACATGGTAGCTCTCCAGGTACCAGGTATGTAAGTGGTAGATATAGATACATATATGCAGGCAAAACACTCATACAACAAAATAAAGAAATCTTTTTTTAAAAAAATGGGTATGGGGCTGGGTGGTGGTGGTGCACATCTTTAATCCCAGCACTGGGGAAAATCAGAGGCAGGCAGATCTCTGTGAATTTGAGACCAGTTTGGTCTACAAAGCAAGTTCAGTTCCAGGACAGGCCCCAAAGCTACAAAGAAACCCTGTCTCAAAAAAAAAAAAAAAAAAAAAAAAAAAAAAAA